CACCGCTGAGCTAAATCCCTGGCCCTTTAACATGTCTTCTAACAGATTCTACTACATAAATACATAGCAAACTAGGACAAGGCTAGCAGCTACAGAAATCAGAGGAAAACAATTGAAGCAAAACTCTCCATATTATACTAAATCAGAAAAAAATTATACATTATATAATTCCAATTCAAAAAATACAAGATACCTAAGTATTTGGCAGCCCAGAGATCAATACATTTAAACTGGCTAATCTGACTGGTTAGGCTGGTATTGTCTTGCTGTCTCACCAGAATATCTACAGTATGTAGATTCTTATTTTTTGGAGGCAGGAGGAGGGCTTTGAAACAGGGTCTCACTAGGTAATTCAAGCTGGGCTTGAACTCACTATATAGCCCAAGCTGGCCTCAAACTCACAGTGATCCTCCTGCCTCAGCCTCCCAAGTACTGGGATTACAGGCGAGCATCACCACATCCAGCCTCTGTAATCCTCCTTGCAAGTGAGCAAAAATATCACTAATCTACAATGTTTTAGCCAAGTATAAAGGAGTTTAAATTTAAATGCTCTTTGCATTTTTTTCTTGAAAAGATAACTAAATCAAAACTAAAGTCAACACCTCTCCAAATCCTCTTCAATACTTGATACAGTCTGGGTTAAACTCACTTACAAAGGTGAACTCTATAAAAGCCAAAGAAATTCATTTGAGGTTTGAGGTATCACCACTCAACAGAGATTCCAACTCAGCATTAACAGCTCAGATGTTCAGGTGAAAATCACAGAAGTGAAATTGTGCTTCAGTTAACTGCATATGATGTCCATATCAGTTTTTTCTTGGAGAGAGGAGGGCAGGTCAAGTATTGCAAAGAAAGGGAAAATATTTTAATTAGGGGGATCATGGGGCCTTTCAGAAGAATGAAAATTTGAGCTCAGACCTGGTAGAAGTGAGACCATGCAAAGATCTAGAGGGAGTGTCCCACAAGGAAGAAAATTCAAGTTCACAGTCCCTGAAGTGGGAGCAAGTTAATGAGAGAAATACACCAAGAAGGCCCGTGTGGCTAGAGCAGAGTGAGACACCATCATAGGACACAGGTTGCTGAGAGAGCAAGGCCAGGGAGAGTGACATCATGTTGTGATGTTCTGGACACAGGGAGACTGGGAATCAGACTCTGAGTAAAACGCAAGCCACTGAGGCACTCAGAGCATGAGAGGACCATGACCTGAGCACGCTATGCTGTTAAAGAGATTACTCTGCCCTGCTGTGTGGAGAAGAGACTGCAGCGGGCTAAGGAGTGGAAGCAGAGAGACCGTGGACTTGGAAGTAGCAGAAGTGGGAAGATTCTGGACCTGTTGGAAATGAACCCAGAGAGTTAGGACACTGTGTGAGGAAAGGAGAGGAAAAGGGTGACGTGGCTCGACCAACAACATGGGTCATGATTCTCTTGCTGAAATGAAGGCCAAGAGTCTGATGAAGATTCGTATTAAACCTGCCAGGGAAATGTGGAACAGACACAGTGTAGAGCTCACAGAAGAAGAAATATGGTGGCAACAATTCTGCAATCACCACCAAATAGAGCAGAGAGAGACACAGGACTTCTTCATATGTCACCCAAGGAAAGAACGAACATAGAAAGGAGACAGGCTCGAGGCATGGCAACACTTAGAACTTGGGAAGAAGAGAGACACGTGGCAGGGAACACTAGCAAGAAAGATAATATGAAGAAACTAAGAAGGTTTGGTTTTCCAGAGTCCAAGTGAGAGATCATTTCAAGAAATAACAGGCAACCAATGCACCAAATTCTGAGTCAGGTAAGATATAACACCGAATTGCAGTCCTGACGATTTTGAGTTCTTATCCCTAACACTGCTCCTTGCTGGAACAGAAATGTACACCACTTGCTAACACATCTGCTAAATAAAAAATGCAAAATTCAGTTAAGTACTTACTCTGTATATTTATTTTTCCATCTTATGGTAAGATTTATTGCAAGAATCGGAAGACTTCATAGAAATAAAAAATACCAAGGGCCGGGGATTTAGCTCAGCAGTTCGGTGGCCTGCCTTGCAAGCGCAGCAAGGACCTGAGTTCAATCTCCAGTACCAAAAAAAAAAAAAAAAAAAAAAAAAAAAAAAAA